ATTACAATTTAAAATAACTTTTTTCTATTTTAATATACTGTATTTTAAAATGTAATTTATTCCTGTGATGGCAAAGCTGAATTTTCAGCATCATTACTCCAGTCTTCAGTGTCACATGATTCTTCAGAAATCATTCTAATATGCTGATTTGCTGCTCAAGAAACATTTCTTATTTCTTCTTCTTCTTATTATTATTGTTATTATTATTATTATCAATGTTGAAAACAGTTGTGCTGCTTAATATTTTAATGGAAACCATTATTTTTATTTTTAGGATTTTTTTAATGAATAGGAAGTTAAAAATAAAAGCATTTATTTTAAACATTAATCTTTATTTTAGGGGTCTTACTGTCTCTTTTTATTAAAATTGAATGTGTTCTTACTGAATAAAAGTATTTATTCCTGTACAAAAAAAAAAACCATCTTCCTTCCCCCGAAACTTTTGAACGCTAGTGTGCATTTTGTTTGTTTTGTTTTGTATATATGTCTATTTAGCTGGATTCTATCACAATAGAATATAATTGAATATGGAAAAGTAGTAATAATAATCCTGTAAAAAAGTGCAATGAACAAAATGGCTATAAACTAGTGTATTTATCATTAGTCAGAAGCAAATGTTTTTGTGCCAGGTTGTACCAGTTGCAGCGCTACAGTTGAGTTCTTTGTGCAGAAGGAAGTGATGTAACAGCATGAGTGTGTGAGTGTGAGGTACAGTCACAGATGACTGGTCTCTCTGCGTGGTGCTAGTCACAGATTCTGACTCTCAGTTGTGAGGAGCAGTTCATGATAGCAGCTTGAATGTTTGTGATGACCGTCTCCTAGCTTCTCGCAAATACCTCCTCCATTATTTACATTTCTCTAAATGTCATCACCTTATATCCATCCCTTCTTCCATTTTTATTTGCTGTTATCTCATACCCTTTCCTTTTCTTCTTACGGCTCACCTTTTTCTTCCTCCTCCATCTAGTCTTCACCTTCATTCCTTATTCCTCCCGCTCGCCTCTCCCCTCCCCTTCTCCATCTCCTCCTCCAGCCCGTTTCCTGATGATGAGGTTGCTGTGATTGGTATGTGTGAAGAGCACGAGGATGTTTCAGTGCAGAACGTGTGGTGAACATGTGTGCCTCTGCTCTCCATCCCCTCCCACAGGCTGCACTGGGGTGGCCTTGA